TATAGATGTCGAATGACAGTGAAGATGCTGCTTGCCTTAAGTTTTGTTCCTGTAAATGATGTCTGTACTGCATTCGAGCATTTGGTAGAAGCTAGTCCTGCAGAAATTATGCCAATGTTAGATTATTGGGAGGCAAAGGAGAAACCGTCGAGGAACTGGAACGTAATCTAACAGGAGATAATCAACCAGAAGCTTCAAAGAACAAATATGTTCAGCTGAACCGAAGATTGCAGACGATTGATTCAACCTATGCTAATGATTCAATGGTGGACTACCTACGAGGTATAGCCCACAACTTAGCAATATAAATGCAACTATAAAGAAACGTTTTATTAATTTGAACTTATTTTCATTTTGTTACATTTCATTTCAGTTTATATTCTCACTTTAGGCCTAACATTTAAAATCTTTGTATGTGTTATTAGATTGCTTTTTGAATAATTGGACTTCACGGTGATTATATCAGTATTTTAGTTAAAGAAACTGAACAATTAGTTTTTTAATGAAACAATAAAGAGTTAACATCAAACGATGCCTTCTGATCTGAGTTAATTACCTTGTTCCTATTTATTATGGTTTTTCGATCTTTAGTTTGCGCTCTAATGTCGGCGCTCTTTTGTCGGGAAATTAGTGCGCTCTTATGTCGGCGCTCTTATGTCGGCGCTCTTTTGTCTGCGCTCTTATGTCGGCGCTCTTTTGTCGTGCGCTCTTTTGACGGGGTGCCCAATTTAGTCACCAAACTGTAATAAAACTGAAATTAATTAGTAGTGACGCCTTGGTTTATAACACCAACATCTAATGGCATCTTTAGCTTGTTAGAATTACCTGGAGTTGTGGTACAAACAGTAGCGTCACAAGTAGGGGTACAAACTGTTCCTTGATACACAAAATTGAAACAGTATATCCAATTTTATGGAGAGGATAAAACGATATGCATTTTGATTAGTAATTAGTTAGATATAGAAATACATTTCTAAGCAACACACCATAAGTTATCACACCGGGTGAGACCCGGTTGGTGAAGAACAAAATGTGCGAATCTAATTATAGCTGCTCGGGTAGATGAGGCTTGTTAGCTGGGAACAGCCACTGTTCTAGGAGAGACAACTCCAAAAACAAACAACTGCTGCCATGTTGTATTTTGTTCTTGGTTGGACAAAGGCTATGGAAGCAAATCCAAAAAGAAAAGCAGGCTGAAATCGGAGTCAATGACCTCAATGGCGCATAACAAGTTGACACGTATACTTAATTGTGCTGGAGGGGATCCCTTCCAACACTAAAATTAAGAACGAAGAAGAATTATGGCTGTAGAACACTTCTGTCAACTTGCCCCTGTGACTTTTAATACTTTGAGTTCCACCGTCCCATATTCTCTTAGGTGCAAAAATTAGCATTTTCAAAATTCTAGGCTATATTTAAAATTATTTGATCAAACAACATTTTAAGAATAATTTACTGTAGGTTATACAGGGCCCCATTCCCATCAAATTAGAGTTTAAATTTCAAAAGTAACAAAAAAAAAAAAAAAAAAACCATCATCCTTTTTAACTCCAGTTAATTTAGTTAAAAAATAATAACAGTGCAAAGGGGAACCACAAAGGAATAACAAAAACCAGAATAAGTTAAGAAGAGTGCCAAGGGGAAATACTGAGATGTGGTTGCTAGGCCTACTTACATACCAGAGCCTGTTTTAGTCATGGACAGTTGTATGTTGCTTTTTTTGGACTATCTATGACAAGATGTGTTTTGACAAATAAATATAGTTTTTAACCATAAGAAGAAATTTACTTTGTAGTTATTGATTGATAAAATGATTATTTAGGATTAAACATTTATGTGTTTCTATTTCATGTTAGTCTTTAGATATTTATTGATACTAAAACACAAAATGTGAAAAATTAATTTAAAAAGTGTAGAATGTTGGTATTTTTAACATGTACTGTAGCAGGAAAAAACAAAATTAAGGAAAGTTAATTATTATTTTACAATGATCTGTGATTTAGTAAATGTGTAGACAAAGTATAATGGGTATTTATTAATGTAATATTATTAAATGAAATAAAAATGATTGTTAAGTTAATAGTGTAAAATGCTTATATAAATCTTGATAATATTAATACAATGCCTCCCAAAAATGTTTTTATTTTTAATTTAAGCATACATTTATTCATTTAATTAAATTTTTAAATTGGGTTATTAAAATATTTAATTGTAAAGATGATAACCCATCTGTCAATGTTTAAATGAATTATTATTAATTATAATTAATTAATATTAATAATTAATAATAATAATTATTATTATTAATGATTTTTTTTAATTTCAAAAGTATTATTTTAATTTTACAATACATTTTGTTTTTTGAAATATAAAATTTGAGCACTCAACCACTTGATAAAATGATATTTATTATATTTTGTGACAAACATTTTTAAAATTATTTTAATTTATATTTATCAAAGTTAATGAACAATTACAAGATTGGCATGATGGACATTGCTAATTATATAAGCTAAATTAATTAACATATACAATATTTTAAAAGTTTTCCCAACTTCACTCATTACAATGTGATATATAAAACTTTAGATGATTCACATTTTGCTTCAAATGTTGTCTCTTTGAATAACTTGATGGGAATATCCTTAAATGTTTATAATCTAAAATACTGTTTATGACTGCTGGTAGAACGTTATCCCTCTTGATCTTAACTTGATATTTTTGAATAAGAATACTAATTTTATTTCAATGCTTCTTTCCCCAGGTAAACCAGCAGAATGTTCAGCTTCATTAAATTCTTTAAAATCTTTTAAGAGAAATATTGTCTTTTACTGGTAATGTTTCTGTTTTATTTGAATCTTTCTTCTTCTTCTTCGTTCTTAATTATTTTATTTGAATGATAGTAGCTACAACATAGTTGTTTTTATGCCACACAATTCTAGCCTGGCTTTAAACAATTCCAGATCTCCATTAGAAGTCTTAGTTGTCACATCATGGGTATTTTCTGTTTTGGGAACATGTCCCCTTCTGCTTTATATGTCTCTGGGGAGTTCTTAACCCTCCTGACACACGGCACATCTGTTTTGCTGATGTTTTACTTACGGTGCAAGTGATTGCAGCTTGTGTGAACACTTTTAAGTGCCTTGTGAATGTTTCGTAATTTAACTGTAGGCTACATATCGAAAAATATCCGTTGAGAACGAGAAAAACTGGTTAGAGTATATTATTGTATTTTCCAAAATTAGAAAATACGTTGTATACGAAGAAAGTCTAACCCCCCCGCCCCAAAATTGTCTTTCTGAGAAAAAAAAGTCTGGAAGAAACACTGGTTGTATGTCAGTAACTTGCTATTCAGGTATTCAGTGTAGGGGGAGTCGTCTTAGTGTCAGTGAAAATGTTTCTATGCTGTTGCGTTGCTCCTCTTTCAAGAGTTTCTTCCAGGCATCTCTTCGCCCCCCCCCCCGGAAGAAAGACTACCATCCCCCCCGTCCACGAACAAAATGGAATTTATTTAGAAAATATATACTTTTAACAGTTTTTTAACAGTATCCTCCCAGCCCAAAAAAATTAAGTCCGTCCCCGAAAGTTTCAAGTGACATCCCGGAGAAAAAAGTCTGGAAGAAACACTGCCTCTTTTAATATAGAAAGACGTTGTAGACTTCCGATAAAAATGTATAAATGCTTTTCAGAGTTCACCCCCCACCCCAAAAAAACAAAAACAAAACAACAACAGCTGTGCTTGAATATATAAAAAAACCAACATCTACGAGAAATAAATTTAAATTATGAGCACAGCCGTGTGTAAAGAGTGCAGGTGGAGCTATTTCCCTAACTCGTTTTTGTAGGCCTGATATTTTAGCAGACATGGTGTTTGTTCCACCATATGAACGGCCATTAGAATCACAAACAAATACATCTGTTACTACGTGTTGTAAACGTAGACGCTTCATAAATGGTATCACGACTTAACACTAGTCTAGTACTATAATAATGCCTAATTGCTACATGAAAAGAAATCTTGTGAATCATTTACATCGATGTACCGACCAAAAAAAAAAACAACAACTTCTGATAAATATCATTGTTTAAAATTTTGAGTTTAAAAAGTTTTCAAAAAGTCGCCACTTAACTGAAAATGGGCACCCCCCCCTGCGTAGGCTATTGTCGCTACAGTTTAAACATTTTAAAAAGTAGTCTTTTAAGATAACAAACAATTCACAACAAAAACAATTCACAACACAAAGCAAAATACAACTCAAACACAACACAAAATAAACAAAAAAAAAAAAAAAAAAAAAAAAAAAAAAAAACTGACACAATAGAAAAACAACAACAAATAGCAGAATTATTTAAAAGATTTAAAGATAAGTGAACAACACAATGGGGAAATATTACTCTGTTTAATAAAGTTCAGTATTCAGATTTTAATTATAATTTTCAAATTCATCTAGATCAAGTATATCTTTAATATTTAATAATAATTACACATTACAATTAGTTTTAACTAAATAATTTTGTCTTGAGCAGAATAACCTATATTAACATTTGTGTAAAAAAATATGAGCATCAAATATAGATAACGTGTTTTGTGTGTGAGGAATTCAGGAATTAAATATTTCCAAAATAAATTTAAAAAATTCAGTGGACGTTGGATGTCCATGACGTAAACACGGAGCAAAGTATTTTATAGTAGAAGCAAACCTTAGTAGAGACACGTGATTTGAATACGCCTTATTGGTTAACAAACCGAGCCTAAACTGAAATTTTTCACCCTCCCACGAGTGCAATTTAGTAATAAGTGATGAAACTGTATAAAAATGAATAACAAAAAAGCAACGCAACAGCATCAAAGCAACTTTTTATGCAACAACACAAAAACAAAACGTGTCAGAATAATTCAGAACTTTAAAAAAAAATATTTAAAAAAAAACAACACAAATATAAAATTAAAATAAAAAAAATTGTTTCAGTTTGGAAGTTAGACTTTAATTTGAAGTAAATCTTGCTGGAAAGTAAGGCTCAGTTTACTTTTCGGATTTTCATTTCCGCCGCATCAAGATTCTTACCGCTTGTAGACAACGAGTCCCAATGGACCCCTTTAGCCCAGTCTTTGGACCTCCACACGCCGGTCAAATAGCAGTGATGACAATCCCTATACCACCATCCTCCCGTGTACGTTCGCGCACAGTGATTGACCGTAGGTCTGTCGTACGTGTAGAACCTAATGCCGTCGTGATATTCTAGGTCGTCCCCGACGTTTCCTGAGAACTGACCAACATGAAGCGTGTAGAAGAGGGTCTCGCTGTCGATTTTAAACGTGTTGTAGTTGGCGTAGTAATCTTTACCTTCAAACTTCATGTCCACTCTCAGCTCCCATTGTCCAGCCTGTCAGTTACAGCAAGAGAAAATTACTATAAATTAATAACGAAAACGAAATATGACGTCACATTTAGCATATAGTAGAAAATAATATCAAGCCGGAGAGTGCACACAGTAATATGACGTCATTGATTCTCGAGTAAACATTGAATAAAAAGGCAATTTTGTCTTATCTTAAAAGTGGCCCAACGTGAAATTTTTTTTCCTGAAGGGTCACCGCGATTTTTTCATCGGGACCCAACGATTATTTTACATGGAGGTCCACTAAATTAATCTCTGGGGGGTCCACCGAGATTTTTCCTGCCGGTACACCGGCGGGCCAGTCCAAGCATATCCACCCGGAGAAAGCGCATAAATAGTGCACTTATTTTGCGAAGAGAACACACAGAAAAAAAAACACGGCTACGCGTCTACGATTTCGACGATATACCATCTTTTTAAAGATTTTATAAATTGATTTAAAAGTCATCGACATTGTTGCGAAACCCTATTAAAACTATCAGAAGGGTTACAAATAGCAAAGGTCATGTTTATCCACTTAAATATATATAGCAGATGTGCCTGAAAAAATGAGGTAAACAATCTTAAAAATGTTGTGTGTGTGGGGGATATGTCCCTTAATGTACATGTTTTAAGTTATTTACTTACATTGCTTAAAGTGTGTACTTCTTCTAGTCCCAGCCAAAAATCGCCATCAAATAAACCAAACCCGTTTCTGTAATCTGTCCAAGGTCTTGAGAAGTTCACACCTCCTTGAATGCGGCGCTGAAGGATAACCATTTAAAATTAGATAAACGTATAATGTTTTTATTGTTGATATGTAAGGGTTTTAAATGTTGTATTTGTTCTACGACATCTGTTAACAATGACAGATTCAAAGTTTCTTTAAAAAGGACATTAATAAATAAAAATTTGAATAATTTTTAGCTTTGATTCTTAATTGGAGGAAAATAAAACAAAAATTAATCCTCAAAATCTTAGCTGTTTTGCCGATTAAACTTTTTGATGTCTTTAAATTGTGTTCATTTTTTTTGTTTACGCGATGTCAATATAGAGGCGTAGCCACCCATTCCGGCGCCCGGGGCGAACTATCAATTTTGCATCCCACTCGTTTTTATAGTCCTATAGATATTCACATTTGTGAAATACATCCCCCACTATGTTGGGAAAGTTTGAGGCGCTGTTTACCATTCTGTTTTTATTATGGTGATGTAGAAAACAGTTTTAAAAGTCTGTAAGCCCAAGTAGCCGTGTATTGTATTAACTAGACTGTAGATAATTCAGTAATACAGCTTCGAACGAACTTTTTGTATATTTTTTCTACCCCGTTAGGCGCCCCTTTAGGGTCGGCGCCCGGGCGGCCACGCCACATCCGCCCTGACCCTCGCTACCCTTATTTTTCAATTAAGTAATTATAAAGTTACTTTAATGATGGTATAATGTATCAGATGTAATTGTATTATCTTATGTGTGCCCAGTGAAGACTATGAGGTGTGAAGTATATTACTTGTGTTGTAGTAACTACTTATATAAAAAAACATTTCCATTGTGTTGACACAGGACTGGAATGCTTAAAGCAATATGTATTGAGTTTTGGGTTTTCATTTTACCTCAACAGAATCCACTCACACCCATGAGTTTTACAGTCAACAGAATCCACTCTCCCAATCAGTTTTACAATCATCAGAATCAATCCAACCCCATCAATTTTACCATGATCAGAATCCATCCACCCCCATCAGTTCTGGTATCACATAAGACATCTTTTCCAGTAGGGGACTTCAGAACAACCCGTTCAGGCAAGTTGATGGCGTTTCTGTCACAGGTTTCCTAAGGGCATTATTTTTTTTAAATTTATCAAACTAGTTTTTACAGTTTTGTTAAAATAAAAATGTGTAATATATACAAGTTAATAATCCTAATAATAAGTGTTGAATAAGGCGTCACCTATTAAGCAGTGCAATCCGCGAGATCTTAACCGTCACCAACTAATTTTATCTTAATTTTTAGCGCAATTTCCATACTGACAATTGCGATTATTAATTCTGGATGGATGGATGGATGGATGGATGGATGTGTGTCCGCAGCTTTAAGTCGTATCTCCTTCTCAACGAAGCAATATCGAGGACTAGTTCCAAAAGCAAATATGTTAAGCAAGTTCCGAGGATGATTGTGGGCCAAAAAATTCTCGGAATTCCTTCCTAGATTTCCCGGAAAAGCCAAATATACCTCGAAAAAATGCAGTTTTTGGCCCATATCTCGGCAACCAGACCACTTAGCGACTTGAAACATTTACCAATCGATTCCTGCCATAATTTAGAACAAGATTGCCGAAGAAATTTTTCAAAAAATATCCTTTCGTTCGGTCACAAAAAATTAATTAAGGAAATTGCGCTTAAATTGTCACTAGACTTTTTATTAACTTGTTTTTCTTGTTTACAAGGTCTGCATTTAAATAAATACAGCGGGGGTAATCTTACCTAAACTCTCACATATATTCTTACATAACAGTCAGGGGGATGGCTTTTTCATGCAAACCGGAACTCGTTCAAAATTTGCCAGAAGCATGCGCTTACAATGTATTACCTATCTGCAAAATTTCGTCAACCGAACGTAAATGGAACTCAAGTTATTGGCTTTCAGAACCGGAAGTTGAGTAAGTACCACTTTCGGTTACCGGAAATCGTCCAAAAGTTGATACGCCGAGATTTCGATAAATCTGGATTTAGATATTTGCCCAATTAAAATAAGCCTCATCTAATGGAGTACTGAGGTGTAAAACGGTGAAAACTGTCCCAATTTCATGTGATGTTTGTGCACAATTACAATGCTTTCCCTATACTCCGTATAAGAGAAAGTAAAAACGTTCTAATTAAATTGATTGACACTTAACAGAAGAACAGACAAACAAATAAAAAGCCCACATCACACGCATTATATAACGCTGGTTTCTATATCAATAATATACTCACATGTTGTGGATTAAATCCTATTTTCAAAATAACATTGAGACTGATTAGACTTGTGTTTAGGTCATTCTCTATGTCTTGAATCTTGTCAAATATAGCTTGAACTCTTCTCTTATCTGCCGTGCTCAGCTGATTTTCAATTTCGTGCAAGGATTCCCGCTGTTCCTCAAAGTTGTTTCCGAATTCTATTATCTTCAGGTGGAACCTCACTAGCATCGTTTCCAGAGTCGAGTTTCCATTACTTGCAAGTTGTCCTGCATTGAAAAATTGAAAATATATAACGGCGTCAAATTTCTAGCTACTTGTTACTGTGGATATAATTATTTTCAAAAAGTAGGCCAACCCAGGCTTGAAAAACCTCCGTATTAACTTAAACTTGAAATAGGTGAAAAGGTAGTTATTTTAAAATAAGTATAAGGCACATCAAATGTTAGTTTAAATTCAAGTTTCTATAAAAACTGCACTTTGTTAAAGATGACATAATTTTCTACGCTAAAAAGAAATAATTAAATAGGAATCAGAATGTCAACTCACCAGAACAGAGACAAATGTTGACAGCCAACTCTGCAGCCAATCGCACAGCATACATGATACTGGTTTGTGTTGATGTTGTCTTCGTGGATTTCTCAAGGAGTGCGTGGTTCACGATGAGTGTCGACTTGGTTATATACAAAACTTATTAGCATATCAGAGGCCTAGATAAACAGGGTGGGGGGGGGGGGCTGCCGCACTGAACTATAGACAGTCGAGTTTAAGCAAACAGACTGAGGCATGACTTTACTTAAAGAGTTTGGAAGGCGAAGCTAGGCTTGCGTGGGCTCTGCTAAAGGGAGCTGCCCTAATCAGATGTGTAGCTGCAGCTCGTTGCTCCTCAGTGGCCTCGCACGATTAATTCAAGCCAGTCAGGCTCTACAGATCGAAGAAGTTTTTTTCTACATCAATTGTTTCAAATAAAATAAATACAGTCAATGGCCATTGAGTGGTAAAGAGGACCCCCTCTTCAACTTTTCTCTCTCTCACTCTTTATATATATATATATATATATATATATATATATATATATATATATATATATATATATATATATATATATATATATATATATATTTTTATATATATATATTTATATATATATTTATATATATATAAATGTATGTATAGGTTGGGGACATAATTTATAGTTCTTCCCGCAAGTTGAAATGGTTCGCAACGCCCCTGAATCAGACGTGGACTTGTTTGTTTCAACCTGCGCTTCATATCCTGTTTATACCTCTAGAGAACCTTCCATCACAAATTATCACCTCGACCCATCATTAATTTTATGGTGATTTATACCGCGCTCGGATGACTGCAAGATGGCGTGTGGGTGGTAGGCGGGGGGATGGGGGGTGGACTCAATAAGAAAACAACACATTAATAAAAGAAAGTGAACAAAGTGAAGCACAGATAATACAGAACTTTGGAAAAATTATCAATTGGCGATTGGAGATTTGACATGCAGTCTAGAGGTTAAAGTCAAGAGATTCTGGAAAAAAGTCGAATATTGATTTTTTTTCCATTGCAGTATTTTACAATGTAAGAAATTTGTAAAAAAATAGAATCTTTGAAGGTCAATGAGATATATAAGTAGGAGTACAGTATCTTAAATGGTAGAGAAATGTAAATTAATTGATGGCTAAAGTTTAATGAAGCATGCTTATTAAGCTCTGAACCTACAACGTTTTGCTGGTCACATAAGCAATGAACTAAAAAACAACAACCACTAAGCAAAATGCAGCATGAATATAATTACCAAAACTTATCAAGAAGTATTAGTCCCTAGAATACACCAAGACAAAGAATGTTGCTCTCTAGATACGCTGCTCAGAATTTTGAAATAAAAAACATTTAAAAAATGCAACATTGAGCAGCACAGGATCAGCATATCGTAACAAGCAAGAGAAAAATGAGTAAAGAAGGTAAAAAAAAAAATAAGTTAATAAAAAGTCTAGTGACAATTTAAGCGCAATTTCCTTATGTTATCCATAACAATTTTAAATCGAGATAAATCATAGCTCCTCCTCCTTCACCTGCGTCTCGAGCAGTTCGCTGCTAAGCCAGCCAGGTCACATGATTTACCCTCCTTTCCTTCGCCTTCCACTGCCTTTTTTGCTATATAGTAATGTAATGTATTATGTATAATGTAATTTTAAATAATGCGGACGTGTAGGGGGTGTTTAGTTGTAGCGCTTTTAAAAATTTTTTTGTGACCGAACGAAAGGATATTTTTGAAAACTTTCTTCGGCAATATTGTTCTAAATTATAGCAGGAATCGATTGGTAAATGTTTTAAGTCGCTAAGTGGTCTGGTTGCCGAGATATGGGCCAAAAACTGCATTTTTTCGAGGTTTTTTGGGCCTCAGTTTAATTTAGTTACCCTACAGTCTAGCACCACGTCTTTTACAAACGATACTCACGCGAAATTAAAAAAAAACATTTGAGGGAACTCTAATGGGAATTAATATTTTAAAATAGTCATTGTGTCATAAAGCGAATTACCCGTTTGCCTGTCGTTTTTCGGACACGGTCAGATAAATTACCTTTCACCTGGGACTGCTTGGTTGGTCGGTAGAGCGCAGGTTTGCTAACCCAAAAGTCTCAAGTTCGGATCCCTGGCTCGAGTCAGTAGAACTTTACTGAGTCCACGCAACTCTGATGGGTACCTAATTCTCGTTGGGGAAAGCAAAGGCATCTATGTCTGTCCCTAATAAGTATTTAAATAAGAATTGAATCATCCAAAGTCATAGCAAGTATTGACAAACATGTTTTTCGTAGTCGTTTTATTTTTTTTTTTACAAACAAAAGCATGTTTTGGCCTGCTTCAATAGAACAAACTGTGTCACAATGTACTGCAACCAGATATATCTTCACCCTATAATAAACATGTTTTCCACTTGGAGCTGACACAAATATAATTTCCTCCAATCTGCCCAGGACCTGCATGGTATATTACCGTGACGGTGAGACGGGCTGTCAGAGATTGTTTGCAAAAACTGTTTGATGTTGGTAGCGGTTCTTCATACACGAAGCTACGGCGATAGCACTTTTAAATTTTCTTTGTGTATGTAAGAGAGAGAGAGAGAGAGAGAGAGAGAGAGAGAGAGAGAGAGAGAGAGAGAGGGAGAAAGGGGGGAATAGTTTAAGCATACAACACAAAATCCTATGCGCTTAAATAGTAAGTAGGTTAGATTAGGTTTGCCTGTTCCCCCACCTGGGGGACAAAGGCCGCTGACAAGAGCTTTCCAGGCGTCTCTGTCCTGGGCTAGTCTCTACAACAGCCCCCCAGGTGTATCCAATCTTTTTGGTGTCTTCTTCAGGTTTTTCTTGGTCTGCCTCTCCCTCCCCCCCCCGTCCTGTGAAATTCCAGGTGAGGGCCTCTCTTGTTATGCTAGATACAGGCTTCTTGAGTGCGTAACTTATCCATCTCCATTTTTTCTAGAGGATCTCCATTCATCAGGTAATAATGATTATTTATATAGTAATTGCCACAGAAAAAAAATCAGCCAAATTAACAGTCTAATTGGAAAGGGTTGTTGAAATTTCTTTTTCTATCCAAGATCTCCAGATGGTATATCGAAACTGTTTGGGATTAAAAATTGACAATTGATTTAAAGTAAAATCAGCACTCAAACTTATAGTCATAAAATAAACAATGCGCGCCGTGTGATCAGACAAATCAAGCGGTTCCTGTTTTAGCTAGGTTTAATATCACACATGAATTTGTTTTATAACGAATTAAACGCTTGTTTTTTGTTGGGGGGGGGGGGGGTGTGATGGGAAATGGGGGGAGGAGGGGAAAGGGGGGTCTATTTAATTAGAAAAGTATTATTACAATTTATTGACAGGAAATTAACTCTGTTTTGTAGTTGGCAATATGTGTTTACTAAAATAAATGTAATTTTTTAAAAATAGCAACAAGCTTTTAAATGCACGAAAAAAAAAAAAAAACTAATGTGTTTTCTTTCAGCTTAGCTTTTTATTTTCCACTTGCTAGTGATTCTTATTTATAAAGTCAACACGACTAAAAGTATTTGGCTTAAAACACTATCAGTAGCTCGCGATATCCGATAGACGTTTATCTGCCCCGCGAATGCAACCTTCCGTGACTAGAATTTACAGACAACAGCAAGCTGATCAAGCGATAGATAGTTCTTAATCTTAGTACCTTCCCTTTGTTTTAAATAGTTAAAAAAACTATATTATCTGCCCCTAATAGCCTTCACTAGATCGATCAGCACACAGATAGTGAACGTTCTCGTGAACTGCACCTCACCAGATAGTTTTTAAGTGATGATCAGTTGTGTAATCAGTTTAGAGACAGGTTGCATTTGATTTTTATTACGTTATTTCATTAGGGGACGAGTTGATTAGTATTGATTGTCTAACCATTCGTAATTCGCTTAGTTTACGTAGTATGTTTTCTAAAATTTAGAGCAATATTTGTACATTTTATTAATTAAAACTTTTTTTATTCAATAAAGATAAAAACAGGGAACCTAAGAAATATAGATCCAATGGTAGGATCTAGTTAATAATAATGCTGTGTATATAATAAGTTAATCCTCAACATTGGAAGCAGGTGTAAATTTAATGAATTTAAAAAACTTTAATCTTTCTAGGGACGTTATAGTCTATAGCCTTTAGAGTAGTTCACAACATCCCTATTGAACAATAGACAGTGTAGTTCATATAATTTATTTTGACTAGAATTGCAAACATTTTCACCGTTGGTGGGAAAAGAGGGGAGGGGCATTGAAACTTCAAGCGGGGGGGGGGGGATGCTTGTTAGAGTAAATATAGAAGATCGTAGTGTTAGAAAAGAAGCGGGGGGGGGGGGGTGAATTTTTTGTGTGATAAGTTTAGGGACAGGGTACATTTGATTTTTATTACGTTGTTTCATGAGGGGACGATTTCATTGGTACAGATTATCTAAAATTTCGTAATTGGACTAGTTCACGAAGTAGGCCTAAACTTTCTAAAATTCACAGCAATATTTTTACATTTTATTGATAAAATTATTTTTTTGTTCAATATAAATCCAACAGGGATAAAAATATATATCCAATGGTAGGACCTAGTTTTTAAAATTTTATCATCTGCTTTTTATACTGAATAAAAAGAAAATAATCGATTTATTCTTAGATATATTAAGTTCATCCTTAACATTGGACACAGGTGTGAATTTAATGAATTTAAAAACTTTAATCTTTCCAGGGACGTTATAGTCTATAGCCTTTAGAGTAGTTCACAACATCCCTGTTGAACAATAAACAGTGTAGTTCATATAATTTTTTTGACCAGAATAGAGGGGAGGGGCATTGAAACTTTGAGCGGGGGATGCTTGTTAGAGTAAATATATTATATATAAATTTATTCGTTCAGTTCTAGGGAGGGGCAGCAGACTTGAAAAATGTCTAAACTGACTCTCAAACTATGCAACAGTCAATTATACGATGTTTGTGTGTGTAGACTTGACCTCCCTAACAAAACAACTTTTCAAATATTTTCACCGTGCACAAAGTGATTTAAATCACAACAAACAAAAAAAAAATGTCGTTTTTTCTATGATCTCCAACTTGAAATTTCTGAAAGGAAATATTTAGAACGTTTAAGGAATCAGTTTGAAGCCTCAAAGCAACGTTTATTAGAACAGCTTTTAAACAAAAAACGACAGCAGATATTTAAAAAATATAATCTTTTTAGGAACAAGCTCAACGGACACAATCATGCAGTCTTAAGATAAAAATTTAGTAGTCAGATTCGCGTGTAAAGTGGAAGTCCTTACCCCACTCGTGAAGTCTGATGGTGTTTATAAAATGGACTAATTGTTTTTTTGTATTTATAAACCTTTTTGTAAATTGTAATAACTTGTCAAAGCATTAAAATAAGTGTGCCAAAAGCCTGAAGACATACTGAGGACATGGACAACTTATATTTTTCGGAATTTCATCTCCGCCGAATCTAGATTTTTGTTGCCTGTGGACAATTGGTCCCAATGGATACCTTTCGCCCATTCTTTAGACCCCCATTCACCGGTCAGATAGGTACGATAACAAAGGTTGTACCACCACCCCCCAGAGTAATCTTTAGTACAATATGTGGTTGTAGGCCTGTCTGTTGTGTAGAACTTCATGCCGTTGTGATAATGAAGGTCATCACCAACATTTCCTGAGAACTGTCCAACGTGAAGCGTGTAGAACTGGGCCTCGCTGTCGAGCTTAAAAGATTTGTAGTTGGCGTAGTAATTTTTACCTCCAAACTTCATGTCCACTCTTAACTCCCATTTTCCGTTCTGCCGAAAACAGTAGGTGAACAGTTTTGTAAATGATAAATATATGCACCTAATCGTTCTTGAGTATGAGTATGTGTATGTATGTATATGTGTATGTATAGGGGAAAATATATGTACATGTTTATGTATCAGTGTATTAATGTTTCTCTGTAAATGCATACGCAAATGTATAAGAATTTTTTTTTCGGTATGTGTATTCATGCTTGTATGTATACGAATTTGTGTATGTAAAAAACAATATGAGTATATGAATAACATTGATAAAATAAGAAATGCATACTTTACTCATACAAGTTGAACTAACTTACTCGGGTTAACTGGTGTACTTGTTCCAATCCTTGCCAAAAGTCACCATCTAAGGTTCCAAATCCGTCCCTGTAATCGGACCAAGGTCTTGCAAAGTTGACATCTCCAACACAACGGCGCTGAAAGAAAATAAATTCTAAAAATCGGTTTAAAGCTAAAACGTTACTTGAGTTACAGTTAATTCTAAACAGATCTTCTATTTTAGTGTTTATGTAAATATTTACTTTTGTAATTCTGTGAAATATATGGTTTATAACGGATAAAATAAACAAATTAATAATTGAAAATATTATTAAAAATATTGACATTTTAAGAATTGCAGATTCCCAATAACTTATTCCACAGACACTTGATTGTGATAATTTATCTCTTACCCTAGAGAGGGTTAGGTGTGTGCGTATTAATTGACCGTAATTATAGAATCACTAATTTTTAGATTAGTACTAGCAATAAGAATTAACATATTCTGATTATTTTTGTTTGTGTGGCAGTTACGATAGAGAGGGTTAGGTGTGAGTATTAATTGACGGTAATTATAGAATCACTTTGTGTGGCGATTACGATAATAAATAATCACAATTTATGTAAACAGTTCCATTGCGTTTATAGTATTTAAAGAATAAATAAAACTTATTATCTGTTTTTTTTATAAATTAGAATCTTTTATTTATTTTCAAATAAATAAAAAATACTTAACATTTATAAGTTTTGATCTTTAAAAAAATTGGACGATTGACAAAAATATAATTAAAACATTCACATTAAGTGTATTTTAGCACCCTAATAGACAACCGAGTTTCCCTTTGGAATTCCTTCTATTTATTTCTATACCCTACCTCAAGTTCTGACACTAAGAACACTCTTCTAACGTTACATACATGCTACTAACACCGTGACACACACACCATGCTCAATTTACCACAATGAAGGTTACAACCATATATATATATATATATATATATATATATATATATATATATATATATATATATATATATATATATATATATATATATATATATATATATATATATATATATATATATATATATATATATATATATATATATATATATATATATATATATATATATATATATAAAGTAAGGATAGTAACATTTGATGAACGAGTGTAATTCGCATCAGCTAGTTTTGATGTTTTACAAATTTTACCAGCATCAGTATCCATCCACCGCCATCTGTTTTTGTGTCGCATAAAATATCTTTTCCAGTTGCAGTTGTCATTATTTCTCGTTCACTGAATTCCTCGAACATAGCACCCTTTTCGCACGTTTTCTAATGATAATATGTTAACGTATTTTATTTAACCGAACCTACCCTGAAGGTAGTTAATTTACATTGAAGAAACAAAAAGCTATAAGACCGACAATGTCAAAATAGGTGAGAGTATAGCGTACACGTTCTATTATAAATCTGTTGAATCTAGGTCTTCTAGGCTAGTTTTTAGTGTTTATTTAATGCCTCAAGATTTTTGTGTAGTTTGCGTAATCAGCCAATCAATTGCTCAGTGCAAAACATTGGGGGACAGAACACAGCCTTGTATGAACCATAAATGGGTCAGTGATATTGCTACCACATAGTTTTGAAGATTTCAGATAATACTTGATGGCATTTTTGGATTTCTCAGGAAAAAAACAATGCTACGATAAGTCTTTTTAGAGATTGCTTCTGTCTAGACTATCAAAAGTATTTTCAGAATTAATTATAGAGTGCTGCTCCATTCCTAATGTCAGCATTAATATGAACACGTATTGTATTTTGAGGTGGCATGCCTTCTTGGCAAACTTAAAAACCTAAATTAACATAAAATTGCTACTGATAATGTATTAATTGGACGTTAAGTTCTGACCTCTTACTGTGTTATAAAGAAGACAGTTTTCTTGGCATTAGTAATTTTTTTGCCAGAGGAGTTTAGTTTAGAGGGACAGAGTATCTAAACTTTCTATAGGACTTTTATTAGGATAGACACATAGACAGACAAAAAAGAAAGACTGATATACAAATAAAAAGACAGAAAACGAAATGACGACCAAAAGGACAGAAAGACTTACCAGATCTAGAATAGGCCTACTTACATCGTACTCATATTCATAGAGCGCAAAGTCACCTGCAATAACACGTAAAAACATAATCTGTGAAAGCGAAACAAATTTTAATATGCAACCCTAATAAAGTCGGAAATCTATCTTTATGGTACTAACAGCTAAAAGTATATATTTATTTCTTTTGTTTGATTTTTCTATATTTTAAATATTTTTAATATGTCTAAATTCTAAATCTAGAATGTAGACCAATAACACAATGAATAATTAAGTTTCTTTGTTAAACTAATTCATTCAGGCCTTAATTATTTTTTAAATATATTTTTTCAATGGAATTGGCCAAATTAGGTTATAATTTAATTTAAATAATATTCGCGTAATTTTACTTTCTTGCGCGGGCTAAAATATAGTATCTCAATATATTTTCTCCAATTGGTAGGTAGGCTTACCTAGCTGGCCGAGATGATAGTGTAATAGACACCATGTTGGTGGTAAGGATTCGAAACTTATCATGTTAATGTTAACATTTTGTGTTTTACTTTTCCCACGTTGGAATATCGCAGCACTTTCTATTTGTTTTAAATAGTTATTTTTTAGTTTGACATTAGCTACGAGGAAGTTTGAGCTCAGATAAAATTATAGGAAAAAAAATCGATGTTTTTAAAAGACAAAAGCAGGTAAGCTGTGATGTGGCTTGTTTTTAGATGTGAATAATAAAATTGCTTTTCGGGACTTGGCGGGACACGGGGCAGGTGAAGTAGAGTTCTCCTATTTATGTGACCTCAGCGACAAAAACATGCTGCCTGTAATGTAAAGTTTTTTACATGTGGGGTCTGGATTTTTGAGACGGCGTGCGACAGTACGGCGGAGGAGGAGAAACATACAAATAATGAAATTTCAGAGAAATTGGTTTGGTAGAAGTGGTCCGAATCCGCTCGCCAGTTTCGATCCATGACCGACGACAAAAGCACGACAAGAGCACGAGAGACATTTAGATAGTGCAAGTTAAATAACAGCTTGTATAAAGAAGGTACGATTCTAATAGACATGAAGGACAGGTAATGAGATGGATAAAATTTTTTAAGAATAATCTAAGTTATCGGATTTGGCTTCTTCGATTGTGACTTTTGTCAAGGATTGAAACAAGTACACCAGTTAACTAAAGTGAGTTCGTGTGCAACGTGTATGAGTAGAAATCTGTAAGTATTTCCTAGATTATCTATATTATGCATATACATATATTTATTTGTTTACATATGCATACACATGCTTAAACACATACAAAAATCATTTGTCTTATGCATTTTGCGTATACATTTACAAAGAAATATAAATATTGCATTTTGCGTATACATTTACAAAGAAATATAAATACTATTATACATAAACATGTACATATATTTACATTTATACATACACATATCGCCTACATACATACACATAGTCATACACAAGTACGTTTAGTTGTGCGTCTAAATCATTTACAAAATTGTCCACCTACTGTATTCGGCAGAACGGAGAATGGGAGATAAGGGTGGACATTAGGTTCTGAGGCAAACATTACAACGCCAGTCTACCCAAACTAAGAAGAATGTTGATATTATCTATGTCAGGATATTTTTTAACTGCTATGTTGGAAGAGTAAAAAATGAAATAGGAATTAGAAAATCAACCTACCAGGATAGATACAAAGGTTGGCAACCAACACTGCAGCAAATATTACAGCAACCATGATAAAATATTGTGTTGTTGTCTCAGCTCATCGACCGTATTTGTAGCCTACTTCATCTGATTAGTTTTCTAGGCCTTATGGTTGTGTTTTATAAATTAATTCTTTTTAGTTTTGTGTTTATTTTATTAACTGTTTAAACAATTAAATACGCTTTTTTAACTGGTTTTAATTTAATTTAATACTACTGAAGACATGATAAGATTTTTTTGATGTCGCGGTGGATTGACCTTGTTTATAGCCTACTTCATATGTTGACGTCATTAAATCCAAAATTTAATAATTTTTAATTTGTTTACCAGACCATGTGGTTGTGTAATTAATTTTTATTTTAGTATTGTGGTTATTTAAAAAAAAATCTGTTTAAACATTTAATTATTTTTTATTTAAAAAAATGGCTTTAATTTAAGTTTAAAATTGATTTAATTAATTTTAAAGCTGCGTTATTGAATGATCTAGACCAGTGGTTCCCAAACTTTTTCGAGTGGCGACCACCTTTATAAAAAAGTAAGCGACCCGAGACCCCCATGGATTTAAAAAGTCGGAAATAATAAGGAATTTCATAAGGACTAAAGTAAGATTTTCTTGTAGACTTTCAAATTGAATTATTCTAAATAAAAGTTCATGCCATTAAATAGCCTCAACATTCGCAGTTTAGTTTTTGTTAACGCCTTTCTCATGTAATTCTCAACATTTAATTAATTTCTAGGTTTATATTTTAATTGGAAAAGTGTTGAAAATCTATTCTCGCAAAGATATATAGACACAAAAGGAACTAAAAATCGAAAGGGAATCAATCACGTTTGGGTATAAATGGTGCGTACTACACCAAACATGTGAGCGGTTTTTCATATGACGCGGAGTCATTCCGCATATAAATGCGACGAGATAATATTCGTTCATTTTGTATGTTGATGTTCGAATATATTATCTGCTAGGTATGATACTCTCTCCATCCACACCATGTCGTTAAAGTATATCAAAAGGTGTTGTTTAACTATGACTTCCAAGAGCAACTTGATATCTTCTTTCAATTAAAAACACGATTCACAATATTTCTTTTTGATAGCCAGCGTACTGCAGTGTTGAAAATCAAAACCTCTTGATCTTTAGGGCTCCAGATTTGATGTAATTTCCGACTTTTATTAGCAATAGAGCCGGAAGAGTTGCTGGCAAGGGCATACCGGTGAATCATGCAGTGGATTCCCCTTGGTTAGGGAGCTTAATCTTTTACTGTTATTTAGAAAGCCCGATTTCGCCCAAACATAGATGGCGCACCATCCGTACAAACCCCAGAGCCTTTTTCCCATTTTAATAATCCAGTTTAAAAAAACGCATTTATTTTCTCCATAATATGTTCACAAAATAGCAACTCTTCTTTGCTATCATCTGAAGAAATATGTTTCACAAAGACAAGTTGGAAGCTTCATTTAATTCAAAAATTTTTCTTTAACATCTAAGGGCATTTCCGCTATACGCCTTTGGATAGTATTATTAGACAGAGCTATTTGTTGCATCTTTACTGCATTGGAATCCCAAAGAATTACTTTCGTCATCTTCAACATGCAGGGTTTGATGATATTTCCTCCTATGTTGTTGTTTTTGCTTGGCAATTTCTAATGCGACTTCATTTGATGTTTGCACTAATGCTGTGTTTCCTTGAAGAAAACTTAAGTCTGACGTTTGCATCTAGCTTCATGCAAACGAAAGAACTCCATATCTTTTGATGTTCCGAATGACTCGTCTCAAAATGGCGTTTAAGTTTTGAAGATATAATAGCTGAGAACAACTTTGCACAGTACGCATTGTTTTTCTCTATTTCATTTTTTATGATGTAAGTAAAGCCGAATTTTAGATATTCTTGTAAATATTTGTTTTTTTTTTTCATTGCTAGGGTTTAGTCTACCAGTTCGAGACCTTCAGAGGGGTTGCGACCCCAAGTTTGGGAACCCATGATCTAGACCAGGGGTCTCCAAACTTTTTAGTCCGAGGGCCGCATTGACTATCAAATTTCAGTTCGGGGGCCAGTTTCTTCCGGGCATGTCTTTGATTTTTCTGGGCAAAGTTCCTCAGCCATCACCTATCAACGTTTTTTCCGTGGACAAAAATATCTCCGCGGGCCGGATGAGAGGACCTCGCGGGCCGCATCCGGCCCGCGGGCCGTAGTTTGGAGACCCCTGATCTAGACCATTTTCATTCACGTTAATATGATTAAGTTTCGGTAGTGTCAGTCGTTTTATTTACTATGGAGAAGGATACAATGAGTGACGGCGTGGTTGGGTGAGAAAACATTTTATTGCTTACTCCAAAGTCCGGAGTTCCGAACCCCATGCACATAAAACTGGTTAAGTGGAAACAGAAACCAATCTTGGAAAGAAAACTAAAAAAAATCAAACATTCGCTACATTGTAATTTATCTTTGATGGACCATGGCTATGGAAACAAATCCAAAAAGAAAATGGCTGAAAACAGAATCAACGGGTCATATGGCCCAATATGCATAGAAGTAATGCATAACTAGATTGAAGTAAATTCCTTTCAAACTATAGTATTAATAACAAAAATGAAGATGGAAAAAAATAGAGTAATATTATTATTGAAATATAAAAGTTTAGTTCATTTTCTACTTATCATTTTCTTCTTATCATTTCAAACACAGCTATAGATAATAGTTTTTTTTGACATCCCTAATCGTTTTTCTACGACCTCACAAAATATCAAGGGGGGTCGTTAGGTAAAAGTTTTTTCCAATGTAGGCCTGTAGCTCAAATAAGGAAAATTTCTCTCGTGGTCAAGTTTTAGCCGTTGCCGTGCGAGCAGAAGCTGACCGATAGTTTATTTATATGGGCCGTTCATTTACCTTGTAATTCTGTCTGCATTTGTATATACAACTTTGAATTTGCATGTTATATATATATATATATATATATATATATATATATATATATATATATATATATATATATATATATGTATACATAAGAATTAGTTTCAGGATATGTACACACACATGACAAATGATCTCAGGGCAAATTATCTCAGACAAAATATCTCAGACAAAATATCTCACGGACAAATGATCTCAAGACAAATGATCTCAAGGACAAATGATCTCACGGACAAAAGATACCAGGACAAAATATATCAGGACATATGATACCATGGACAATTGATCTCAGACAAAATATCTCAGACAAAATATCTCACGGAAAAATGATCTCAGGACAAATGATCTCAAGACAAATGATCTCAAGGACAAATGATCTCACGGACAAAAGATACCAGGACAAAATATATCAGGACATATGATACCATGTACAATTGATCTCAGACAAAATATCTCAGACAAAATATCTCACAGCAAAATTTTTTAGTTGATTTGAACTTTTTTTTTATTGAATTGTAAATATGGTTTTGTTTTTAATTTTTTACGCATAATAATTGTGAATAAAATGAATTTGTTAAACTTAACAAAGCATCAAAAGATTTATTAAAGTTAATGTAATAGTATTTTATTTGAAAAAGTATAAATTAAAACAAACTTACTTCTTTAGCCTGAAAGTTATAATAAATGATAATGAATAAAACAAATAAAGTAAAGGTAGCTTAACACCATTAATGTTAGAAACACGCTCAATATTTTTTATAATGTGAATGGATCTTCAGGTTCGTAACGTACAACTATTCATTTTATTGCCTTACCAACACAAACATAATGAGCACGTTTCTTTGTTGGCAGGTACATCGTTATGATAACACCTCTCCAAAACTTTGTGATCATGTATTGTGTGAACTCTTGCTCAATATGTTCTAACTTCACATTTCCAAATTTCTCTGCCTGCTGCTCTACTTATGGCTTTTATAAACAGAAATCCACCAGAAACGAATGTCCTAAAACCTTTCTGCGAGGTAACAAAGAGGCCATAGCTGAGTAATCACCACAAATACTCTTTATTTGCATGCACATTAAGACAAACTTAGCTCCGCGACAACCGCTGTCGTTACAATAAGCACTTGTCACCTGATCACTAAGGTGTGACCGACGCATAACAATGGACTTCAGATGCTAGTTGTAATGTCCATGTAGGGGGGGGGGGGGTCTTTCCCTTAAGGCATGTCTCTGCAATTAAAGCGAGCGGCCACCTTGATACGAAGGTGTGTCTTTTTGTTATTTCATTCCATTTGATCTAGTTTCGTCCACCTGACGTGGTAGGATTGTCTCATGTTTGTCAAGCCCACCGACGCTGTCTATCGAAACAAATTCTTTAATCTTCGCATAATGTATTAGTAATTTTAATTTATGTGTTTAGTTCAATGTGACAAATTTAAACGGCAAACATTTCTTGCAATTATTAAATATGCCAATAAACAATATTAAACATAGTAAACAAAACCATATGCCAGTCAATCAAAAACTGTTCAGATCAACTAAAATCATGCAATCCACTATTAAAATTTGCTGTGAGATATTTTGTCTGAGATATTTTGTCTGAGATCATTTGTCCATGATATCATTTGTCCTGATATATTTTGTCCTGATATATTTTGTCCGTGAGATCATTTGTCCGTGAGATCATTTGTCCTGAGAACATTTGTCCGTGAGAAATTTTGTCTGAGATATTTTGTCTGAGATCATTTATCCTGTCACCATATATATATATATATATATATATATATATATATATATATATATATATATATATATATATATATATATATATATATATATATATATATATATATATATATATATATATATATATATATGTATATATATATGTTAATATATATATATGATAAAACTAATTAAGATGTTCATACATAGGCATATGGTGTTACAGTAGGTATCGGGCTGCTACATAAACAAACATATTGATACATTTTGCTAAAGAACTTACGTATGTTAACTGGTGTACTTGCTCCAACCCTAGCCAAAAGTCACCACCAAAGGTGCCAAATCCGTTGATGTAATCGGACCAAGATTGTGCAAATTTAAGACCTCCACAGAAGGCGCTGAAAGATTATAATTTCTAAAAATGAAAATATTCAGAATAGGATATTATTAAAGAACTGATACAGCTTTAAACGAAATTTTATATCTCATATTTTCTTGCTTTATGCGAAAAACTTATGGAGTGACGTTGCTAAAACTTAAAAAAA